AAGGTGGAGGTCTTGGGGGAGGCTTGCTGGCTGCAGGGCCGATGAGCGTCCCCTGGGGCGCGCCGCCTCCGTCCGCGGCGGGTCCGGGAGGGACCGGCGTCATCAGAGGAGTCAGGCCAGGTCCCACTGGCGCGAACACTAGCTGAGGCGGTGCTGGAGGCATGCTGGCTGGGTTGGACGATGCTGCTGGCTGGGTGCCACTTTCCGTCATGTCGCTGATGCCCGCCAGCGACGACCGGGGAACTCCCTGCGCCTGAGGCTGAGGGCTGCTCATGCTTCCCGCTGGCCCCGTCCACCCGGAGGCGTGGGCCGTCGCCGCCCACATGATGGGCTGGGCTGGCGGCGGGGGCCCTGGCATGGCCCCGCTGGACGTGGGGCCCTCCTCCCCGGGGCTCGGTCCCGTGGAGGCCTGTTGCTGGTCCATCGGCATGCCCGGCGTCTGCTCTGCCGACGCGGCGCCGACGAACGCGCCCGGCATCTCCGTCGCCTCTGAGCCGACCGAAGACTCCAGGCTCACCTCGGACTCGGCGGACCGGCTGCGAGCGAGAAACTCCTCGGTGGCCCTCTTCGCGGGGGCGTCTCCCTTCTTCTTCCCTGCTCGGACCAGTCGCATCGTAGTGACTACCATCAGGACAAGCGTCACCGTCCGCATGACTGAGGTCGCTCTGGGAGGGCCGGAGTCGGCCTGGGCGTCGTGAAAGTTCTGAAAGGCTAGAAAGATTTGAGCCTGAAACGACTACGGAGACCGAGATGGCGAGGCTGAATCTGAAAACGAGGACCCAACTCACACTCCGACTCGTAGGTCTCCTTGTCGCCTTCGGCCTCACCCTAGCTTCTCGCGGGGATCCCGAGGCCCGGACTGTCTCGGAGGCTGCTAGCTTAGCCCGTGGCCAGAAGACGCCGATAATCTTGTTCCGAAGGACCTCGAACCTGGCCCGGACCTGGTTCCCGAACGTCCCGAGATAGCCCCATTGATGACCAGCCCACAGCAGTCCCCCACTGACGATGAAGATGAGAGAGATGAGAAGAACCATATACCTCGAAATCACCCCTTCATCCGACATGATCTGCGGGGCTTGGTCGACTAGCTGAAACGAGTCGGCCCTCAGGAACGGGTACCTCTTCAGAGCTGGAGGCGTGACACTCACCTCTTCCTTGAGAGGACGAATGATGTCGACAAGCCTGTGCCCGGAGCCCAGGCGAGTCATCTTCTCGGTCTCGCCTAGCGCATGCAAAACCAATTCGTTTCTCGGCAGGTCTATCACCGAGCCGAGATATTCCAAAAGATTGACGCTCAAAATATGCGGCACGTTGTCCGCTAGGACTGTCGTCTCTATCACGCCCAGGGCGCCTCCCAGGCAGAGAGGAAAAAGGATGACGCTGATCACCTTGGCAGCCCCGCCAACGCCGTGCACCGCCTTGAGAGGCCTGCACGACTGGGGGATCTCGACGTACTGGAGACCCAGGCTGGCCAGCGCTTGGGACTCTCGGTTCAACGTGCACTCCGACCAGGTCGCTGCCCGCTCCAGGATCCACCAGAGCCTGTGTGGCCCCGGCCGCGATGAAGATGCTGCCCTTGGTGATCTCGTCGTCTGCCTCGCCCCAGGAGGCCTCGATCGCATCCGAGACAAAGATGCCCGAGGAGCCGCCTGGAGAGCCCGAGTCCACGAAGCCGTCGAACATGTAGGCCGACACCTTCTGTCGGTCTGACTTCCCGCCACTGCTGGGACGGCTGGGATTCGCAGCTCCTGGTACGTGGTCTCCGTACTTGGGACACTCCTTGCCCCAGTGTCCCTTCTCGTTGCATCTCTTGCATCGGGTCACCTTCATGAGCTGTTCTCGTGAAAGTCGGCCTCGATGATTGGAACGAGCCTCTCGACCTCGGCCGCTGCGATCCCGTCGACCGGTGGCATCCCTCGGGCGGCCGGCTCGAGCAGCGGGAGGAGGAGGAGGCCCTCGTCCATCTGACTTCTTCATGCCGTAGTATTCCCTGTCCTTGCGGGCAGCCCGCTTGATGTCCTTATTCTGCTTCCAGGTGCGGGAAGTGTTGGGCTTCTTCTCAAGGAAGGCCCAGATCTCGTCGTCGTTGTCCAACTGCACGTCCAGGTCCTCGATCTCGGCGAGCAGCGCGACGATGTCATCCTCCGAGTCATACGAGTCGTCGTCTCCCTCGGTCGAGCCGTCGTAGTAGTTGGCCTCGTCGGGGTCTCCGTTGGCACCACCACCGACCTCGAACCGACCGGGGGAGGAGGGAGGAGGAGAGGACTGAAAAGCGAGAGCCGGGTCGCCCGCTGGACCTCGGTCCTCAGAGCTCGTCGCCAGCATGGCACCTGGGCCAGGTCGCCCGGGGAGGAGGCGCTCCATCCCGGTGGCGTCCATCTGCCGGAGAGCCCACGCAACGTCGGCGAAGTCGAGCCTGCCGTGCGTGAGCGTGCGTAAATTCTGCATACCTTGGGCGCCCAAGCCTGCGCCCTCCTCCAGCAGTAGTCCTTTGAGCTTCGGGCTCATCCACAAGTCGTGTCCCTCTGCGTCCTGGAGCTGAGCCTCTCGTCGAGCAACGAACTGCGTGAGGGACTCCTTTGACTCCCTCGCGGCCTCGAAGAAGGCGCGACGGCCAGCTCGACGGAGCTGGTCTCCCTCACGCTCTCCCGCCATCATGTCCATCCTGCCGATGAGCACGTCGAGCCACTCGGGGGACACGAGGGTGTCCTCGCTCACGTCCTCGAACTTGGCCTGGAAGTTGTAGTCGAAGAGCTTCATGAACTTCTCGGCTCGACGCCAAAGCTGGACGTCAGTATTTTTGTTCCATCTTCTCATCGCAATCTTCCACTGCCTATAATTGGTCCAGCCCGGCCAAGTGGGAGGGTCGCTGAAGTCTCCTCTCCCGCCGGCCCAGCTGCTGGACCCATTCCACGTGTCCTTCCAGCTGTCCCAGGCGCCGGAGCTCCAAGCATCTCGCCCAGTATTGCTCCAGCCGCCCTTGTCCCAGCTGCCGTCCTTGTTGTCCCACCAGCTCTTGTCCTTGTCGTTTCCGTCGGTGCCTGCTCCTCCGGTGGGAGCACTCTCTTTAGCCCAAGGATCTCTGGTGGGGTCCTTCCAAGGGTCTCGATCTTCTGTCGCTTCTTGCCGTCGAGCTCCAGATCCCATAGTTTCCGAAACTATACCCCTGATCATCTCCCTGAGCTCGTCGGCCCCCATGCTGACCGCAGGCGCCAGCTGCTGACCGCCTCCTGGGGCGGCTCCTGCTGGCGGCTCTTGCCTGACTGCAAACACCTCTACATCCTTCCCGTCATCGGGCATCCCGCTCGCCGTGGATCACACGCTGCTTGCTGGATGCGAGCGCAGCCGCTGGGCGAGCGCACGCGAGCTGGCAGGACGCGCTCTCACTGAGCGTGCCCCTGCCTGCCCATGGCGCCCCGCCCGAGGACCGCGCTCCGCTACCAACTGTGGCAGACGGAGACAAGCAAACGTTTTTGCCTTGAGCCACAGGGCACGGTTCACAAACTCTGTTGGCAACATGCGCTGAACCTATCATCGGAAAATCTGGAGCTCTGCAACAACCACCATCAGCATCATCATCATCATCATCATCATCATCATCATCATCATCATCATCATCATCATCATCATCATCATCATCATCATCATCAACAGCATCGTCAGCATCAGCATCAGCAGCATCAGCATCGTCATCATCAACACCAACATAATCACCCATATCAGCATCGTCGTCATCACCATCATCGTCGTCATTATCATCATCGTCATCATCATCAGCATCATCCTCATCGTCATCATCCGCAGGATCATCATCATCATCATCATCACCATCAGCATCATCATCATCATCATCATCATCATCATCATCACCATCATCATCATCATCATCATCATCATCATCATCATCATCATCATCATCATCATCATCATCGTAATCATCATCATGTTCAGCATCATTATGATCATCATCATCAGCATCACCACCACCATCATCATCATCCTCGTCCGTGCTGCCTGACCATGAGACATGCAGGGGAGCTGGACTATCAGGGGGGGGCCGAAGCTCGGTTGCTTCAACCGTCCTCGCCAGCGCGCGATGCTCACATGTAGCCGCTGCTGCTGCCCGCCTTTCGCGACGAGCCGTCGGACACAGGGAACGCTTCACAGCCACTCCAAGCTGGAAGAGATGGGACGCAGAAGGACATACCAGCACTGTGCGGACCCCTTGAAGGTGCACGTCTAGGGGAACGGACAATGACATAAACATAAAAACTCGGAGGTCCGCGCGGATTTCTCGGATCGGCGCTGGACCCCCCTCCCTGGCGCGCGGAGCGCGCCAAGGGCGGCACCAGGCGCCGCCGGGGGTTGGCGCGCTCCGCGCGCCAGGGAGGGGGGTCCAGCGCCGATCCGAGAAATCCGCGCGGACCTCCGAGTTTTTATGCTTATGTCATTGTTCGCCCTCCTATTGAAGATGCACGTCGTCCGAACCGAACACGCAACGCAGACATGCTGAGGCACATCGCCACGTACCCAGATGGTACGGCCAGGGAGCGCCCGCCACTGGGAGCATACTATTAGGATCTCCGAGAGCGCACGCGTCGCCCCATGGGAGGGCCGACGCACACGCCACAGATGCCGACGAGAGGAGGGAGGAGGAGGGGGGAGGAGGAGGAGGAGGAGGAGGAGGAGGAGGAGGAGGAGGAGGAGGAAGAGAAGAGGAGGAGGAGGAGGAGGAGGGGGAGGAGGAGGACGAGGAGGAGGAGGAGGGAGGAGGAGGAGGAGGAGGAGGAAAGCGAGGAGGAGGGAGGAGGAGGAGGACGAGGAGGAGGAGGGAGGAGGAGGGAGGAGGACGGGTCTTCAAAGCCCCTCGGAGAAGCCCTCCAGCGGGGTCGGGAGCGGCGGCGGCCGCGGCAGGGCGCAGGTCACCCCGTGCCGAGGACGAGCCGGCGAGGCGAGAGGGACGAGAGACGGCGGCCGCAGGCACAGGGGGGGGGCGGCGCCCAGCTCAGACGCGGTGTGGCCCCGCGCCACGGAGTACCTCGGTCGCACTGGGAGGCCGAGCCAAACAGAGATAGCAGCATCTCACAGGCTCGATCCGCCTCCGCCCCCCTCCTGAAGCGACCTGCCTGTGACTGCGGTCCTCGCGATAGTTCCCCGGAGGGCACGAGAGGGGAAAAGGGGTCAGGGGGTTGTGGGAACGGGTAGGGAGACGGGATAGGGGACAGGGATCGGAATGAGGACGGGGTACGAGGAGGTAGAGAAGGGATGGGAGAACAAAGGGAGGGAAAGTGAGGGGATGGGGGGGGACGGGAAGTGGAAGGGGAGAAGATAGAAGATGGGGGAGTGAAGAAAGGATGAAATGAGGGATGGAGGGGGGGCTGGAGGGATGGCATCAGGGAGGGATAGAGGACGAAAAGGTGGAGGGATGAACGGAGCGGACTGGTAGGTGGACGACGGGATGGGCGGTTGGGGTGCCGTGCTCTTCCTTCGCCCTCCCGCCTGACCCGCTCTCCTCCTCATCCTCCTCATCCTCCTCCTCGTCGGAGAGCTGGAGGGCAGCGGCAGGAACGAGCGAACGAGCGAACGAATGAGGCTGCCGCCGCTGTGCCGCCGCTGGGGCAAGAACGGCGCCTCTGCACAAGGAAGACAGGCGCGCATGCCGAGAGACCAGGCCCTCCACAAAGGGCCCACGAGGCCACGTTGCTATCTCAACGCCTGGCCACTGCGGCACCACGAATACTGCTTGCTATGGGACAGAGCAAAGATGCCCTCAGCACCAGACGCTCCCCATGGGGATAAGGAGGAGGAGAGGGAGGAGGAGGAGGCGGAGGAGGAGGAGGAGGAGGCGGAGGAGGAGGAGGCGGAGGAGGAGGAGGAGGAAGAGGAGGCGGAGGAGGAGGACGAGGAGGAGGCGGAGGAGGAGAAGGAGGAGGAGGAGGAGTAGGAGGAGGAGGCGCCTCGCGCGTGCCCCTGCACTTACTGCAGGTGCACCTCGGGCTTTTCGTCGGCGGCCATCGGAGGCGACCGCAGCGAGGCTGGAAAGCACCGGGCGGGACGCTCCTGAAGGGGCCCCAGGACACACAAATAAATACACAAATAAAAAGATTCCCCATATTTTCCCAGATTTTCTGGGTTCTGTCTTCCCCCCCACTTCCCATATTTTCCCATATTTTTTCCTGGGAGTCGAGGATTAATTATGTCTGTCTGTTTTTTTCCCTCCTGAGCTCCGAGAGGACGTGGACGCGAACGCGTACGTGTCGGTCGGACGACCGCCGCGCACCGGCGGCATGCAGCACTGACCGTTGCACCTCCGGCGAGCCGGGTCTGCGCGCGGAGCCACCGGCCTCCGTCGTCGGGTGCGCCAGCGATGGGGAGGCAACAAGAGAGGCCACGAGGGGCGAGTGTACCCGGATCCACGCCTTTCGCGGTCGGGGTGTCCAGGGGCGCGATCCCATGGATACGCGGTCGCATGGATGCGTTGCGCGCGGTGAATTTGCGAAAAAAGCGCCCCGCATCCGCGGGGTCGCAGCCCAGAAGCCCAGCCCGCGATACCGTGGATACGGATCTGTCCCCCGCCCACAAGAGAGCGGGGGGGGCGCATCATGGCCAAAGGCATGTGCTCGGACGAGATGGGGACGGGGAGCGCGAAGAAAGGAAAAGAGAAGAGGGCCATGAGATCTGTCAGATTTCACGGCCCTGACTATGGCCCTCCCCCCTGGTCCTCACCCCCCCCCTTAGACACCCCCGATGCGTGGCTGCGCAGGCTCATGGTAGAGAGGAGCCCTGCCGCGCGATCGCACGGCGGAACGCTGGGCCGCCGTGTGGCGCCCACCTCGGCGCAGCAGAGCACGACAACAGTCATGTCGGTGCATGGCCGGCATGCGAGAGAGGGCGCAGTGGAAGCGACATGGTACGCTGCAGACGACCGACGCGGGATCGAGGTCACGTTCCATCTTACATGCTGTCACTGTGCCACCATGCGCGATTGGAAACGTAGCCCCCCGTGAGCGATGATCCTGACCAGGGTGGACAGCTCGAGGCCGCCTGCGGCGAAAGACCCCAAGAGAGGGCAACATATTATTAACAGTGTCTGTGTGGACCTGTGGCTGCTTTTGCCAACGACATGTAAGAGATCACGCCACCCCGCTTGTGGCTGACGCCCCCCGCACCCCCGCGCGTCGCAGCTGGGCAACACCGAGCCCCCCCGCGCCTGCCGACCCCCCTCTGGGTTTTAGCTGGCCGATCCCGCGCGAGGGCCTGCAAAGGGCACGAATACAGTCATTCGAGACCACGTGCTTCCACAAGGAGAGCAGAAGTCTGAACGTCAGCTCTGCCCTGCAAGCTACACGCAGACGGAGTGTGTCCCAGACGGAGAAAGAGCACTCCGCACGGGCTTACTTCGTATGGACGGAGCCTCCGCCGACGCGGTAGTGGGGGTGGGTGCTCAGATGGGTGTTGCCGGGGGAGGGGGGGTAAGGAGGACCCGCCCCCGAATTCAAGCGGGAGCGGGCCAAGGTTTGCCGAGGGTGGCCTCATAAAGGTCCCCCACGGGTTCCAGTAACCCAGAACGGCCTCTAGGTGCCCAATCAAAGCAACCCCCAGACACGCACGCAACCGCTCTCCGACACGTGCCGACGGTTCCGAGGCCGCGCAAGGCATCTCAAGGACCCAGAATAAGTTCCAACTGTCTCTCCAGCCGGCCCTTGGGAAACATCCAAAAACCGATCCTGGCTAAATTGTGAGGGTGTCTCAGGCGGGAGCCGTTGTTGCTGTAATCCGGGGGCCAGGGGCACAGTTTGAGCCTCAAGACTTTCCCTGGTAAAAAAAAGGTGCGAGCGTCGAGGGGCACACTTTGATTGCGAAAAGCAGTATGCACCAGTGGGGGGGATCAACAAGAATTAATTATCAGAAATGAACGTTCAACAACAACAACAACAACAACAACAACAACAACAACAACAATCACTTTACCCGAACGCTCAGTGTTCTCACCAGTGCCAGGGTTTTCATGCGACGCCAGCCAATACCCCCACTTTGTGGGGGGGCAGTGCAAGCTCTACCAAATATCCACACGACTCTTCGCCACCACCCACACCCAGCTTCCCGCCCTATGACGTTCGGACACTTCACTTCGTGGCCTGCGGACGACCGTGGCTACTACACTGGCGTGGAGTACACACCCACAGAAGTTGTTAAGCCTACGTTCGTACACCCACAGAAGTTGTTAAGCCTTGTTAACCCACAGAAGTTGTTAAGCCTTCCACAGAACATCTGTTGCATATGATGCATATGGTACATGATACACATGATACACATGATACGTACTCACAAGATAGTTGATCACATCTTTAGGGCAAATTCCTGAGGGATGTGGGAATACACAAGAGAGAGAGGATATGGTTGTCCCGATGGTTGTCTCGATGGTTGTCCCGATGGTTGTCCTGATGGTTGTGGTTGTCCCGATCGTTGTCCCGATGATTGTCCCGATGGTTGTCCTGATGGTTGTGCTTGTCCCGATCGTTGTCCCGATGACTGTCCCGATGTGTCCCGCATGGTATTATTTGACAGGGATGATGGCCCTGGCAGGTGCGCAACCGTTGTCGCAGAAGTTCGAAAAAGTTGCTCGCAAAAGCCCGTTTGACAGAAATGTTTAAAAAGTGTTGGTTTTCCTACGAATCCGCAAGAGCGCGCGGGATGAGATTTTGACATTTTTTTGTTGAAAAACCATTGGTTTTTTGATGTTTTTATGTTAAAATCGCTCCGAACACTAAGCTTTTGGAAGGATTTCGTCTTGCGCGCGCGAATGTCCACTTTACCTTATTTTTTGCAAGGGATTCTTGAAATTTGATTATATTAGAACAAGAAATGTCATTTTATAGTGTTTTTTGCAAGGGAAAGCGGATTACAACAAAACAACCGGATCTGATCACATCTTTTCTGAGGCTTCCTCACGAAAATGATGAAAATGTAGCTGCGGCCTAGGCGGCGCAGGGGGGCGCGCACCAGGGGGCCCAACAATAATTATTCTTTAGAATTAATAATGTTCAACAACAACAACAATCACTTTACCCGAACGCTCAGTGTTCTCACCAGTGCCAGGGTTTTCATGCGACGCCAGCCAATACCCCCACTTTGTGGGGGGGCAGTGCAAGCTCTACCAAATATCCACACGACTCTTCGCCACCACCCACACCCAGCTTCCCGCCCTATGACGTTCGGACACTTCACTTCGTGGCCTGCGGACGACCGTGGCTACTACACTGGCGTGGAGTACACACCCACAGAAGTTGTTAAGCCTACGTTCGTACACCCACAGAAGTTGTTAAGCCTTGTTAACCCACAGAAGTTGTTAAGCCTTCCACAGAACATTTGTTGCATATGATGCATATGGTACATGATACACATGATACACATGATACGTACTCACAAGATAGTTGATCACATCTTTAGGGCAAATTCCTGAGGGATGTGGGAATACACAAGAGAGAGAGGATATGGTTGTCCCGATGGTTGGATGGTTGTCCCGATGGTTGTCCTGATGGTTGTGGTTGTCCCGCGCGAACCCCGTTGCAAGAGCGTGCGAAAGTAGCTCGCGCGAGCTCATGTAACATAAATGTTGGAAAACCATTGGTTTTTTTAGGATTCGGACAGCGCGCGCGGGTATAAATTTTGAAAAGTCGTGCAGGTGTTTTTCGAGGACCTACGGTGCGATTCGTGTGATTTTATGATGCGCGGTGCTAAAATTCTTAAGAAGCCCAATGGTTTTTGGAGATTTCGGCGTGCGCGCGCGAAGAAAAAACGAATGTGTCCCGCATGGTATTATTTGACAGGGATGATGGCCCTGGCAGGTGCGCAACCGTTGTCGCAGAAGTTCGAAAAAGTTGCTCGCAAAAGCCCGTTTGACAGAAATGTTTAAAAAGTGTTGGGTTTCCTACGAATCCGCAAGAGCGCGCGGGATGAGATTTTGACATTTTTTTGTTGAAAAACCATTGGTTTTTTGATGTTTTTATGTTAAAATCGCTCCGAACACTAAGCTTTTGGAAGGATTTCGTCTTGCGCGCGCGAATGTCCACTTTACCTTATTTTTTGCAAGGGATTCTTGAAATTTGATTATATTAGAACAAGAAATGTCATTTTATAGTGTTTTTTGCAAGGGAAAGCGGGGGGGAACAAAACAACCGGATCTTGATCACATCGAATTACCTGAGGCTTCCTCACGAAAATGATGAAAATGTAGCTGCGGCCTAGGCGGCGCAGGGGGGCCGTGCACCAGGGGTCCCAACAATAATTATTCTTTAGAATTAATAAATTCAACAATAAAGTTAAGACTGTTCGCCCTTATATGCTCGAGTGTCCAATAACGCGTATTTCCCAAACCCTCGTTACCCGCCGTCGTCGTCTTCGATCGAACCCCTTTTGGGGGGCATACCTTTCTTCTCTGCAGGCCGGGCGCCGGCAAGCGGCGGGGCGGCCCCTGGCCAGCGGCAGCGCTGATCGGCGGGGCGGCCGCGGACCGTCGACCCGACCCCAAGAGGGACGGACAGGGGACCGACCACGACGACGACGACGACGACGACGACGACGACGACGACGACGACGACGACGTCGACGACGACGACGGCGACGACGAGCGAAAGCGAGAGCGAGAGAGAACGACAGCAGGGCCACGAAGGGCACGAAGTAGGCCACGAAGGGCGACAGCGGGGACACGAAGGGAATGCGTATGGGCCACGAAGAGCGCGAACGAGCGGGGGCCACGAAGTGCAGATAATGCGGGGCCACAGAAGGCAACTATGGGGCCACTGAGGGTAGCAACTGGGCCACGTAGGACAGTGAAGGGGACACAACAGGCGACAGCGGGGCCACGAAGGGCATGCAAACGGGGCCACAACGGGCGCGACTCCTGGGTGTCTGGGTGTCAGGAGCGCGGCGCTTAGGCAAATTGCAAGAAATTCCAACACAAGGCCATTCTTCAGTAAGTTGCAAGCAAGTCTCAAGCGAGAGCGCGACTCCAGACCAGGAGAGCGATTCCTGAATAAATTGTAAGGAAGTCCCAGGCGAGAGCGCGATTCCTGCATAAAATGCGAGGAATTCTCGGGCGGGAGGGGGTGTCCTGGCTAAATTGTAAGGAAGTCTCAAGCGGGAGCCGTTGTTGTTGCAATCCGGGGGCCAGGGGCCCAGTTTGAGCTTCAAGACTTTCCCTGTCAAAAAACAAGGTGCGAGCGTCGAGGGGCACACTTTGATTGAGAAAAATAATATGCACCGGTGGGGGGAGGGTCAATAATAATTATTCTTAAGAAATGAAAAACAACAACAAGAACAACAACAACGAAAACAACAACAACAACAACAACAACAACAACAACAACAACAACAACAACAACAACAACAACAACAACCATTTTAAGGCTGTACGCTCTTACTTGCCCGCGAGCCATTCAACACGTATACCCTACACCCTCGATACCCGCCCTCTTCGTCTTCGATCACACTCCTTTCGGGGGACTATTTCTCTTTGCTGGGGCCGGCGGGCTTAGACGTACGGGCAAACCGGAACGGGCGGACAATCCTTCGGGGGCGTACATCTCTCTGCCCGCCATTGGAATTGGCGCGGGCCCTGCAAGAGGAGGAGGGGAAGAACGAGGGAGAGTGGGAGGAAGGGGAGGGGGAAGGACGAAGGAAGAGGGAAGATACCACGTTGTGAAGGCGTCCTTGGCGCGTGCGTGGTTCCTGAGCGCCGAAACGCAATTCCAGAATAATTTGTGAGGACGTCGCACGCGAGAGCGCAGTCCTGAGTACATTGTGAGGAAATCTCGGGCGGAAGCGGGGGCCCTGACTAAGTTGCGAGGAAGTCTCAAGCGGGAGCGCCGTTCCTGAGCAAATTGCACGGAAGTCTCAGGCGGGAGCGGGGGTCCTCACTAAATTGCGAGGAAGTCTCAGGCGGGAGCGCCGTTCCTGAGTCAATTGCGCGGAAATGTCAGGCAGGAGCGGGGGTCCTGAGTAAAATTCGAAGAAGTCTCAGGCGGGAGCGCCGTTCCCACGTAAATTGCACGGAAGTCTCAAGCGGGAGCGGGGGTCTTGATTACATTGCGAGGAAGTCTCAGACGGGAGCGCCTTTCCTGAGTAAATTGCGCGGAAGTCTCAGGCGGGAGCGGGGGTCCTGAGTACAAATCGAGGAAGTCTCAGGCGGGAGCCGTTGTTGTTGTATCCCGGGGGGCAGGGGCACAGTTTGAGCAGGAAGACTTTCCTTGAGAAAAAACAAAGTGCGAGCCCCGGGGGGGGGGGATCAACAATAATTATTCTTCAAGAATGAGAGTTCAACAACAACAACAACAACAATTACTAGCACGTGGGGACACTCCGTTCTCACCAGTGCCAGGGTTTTCATAGGAGGCGGGCAATACCCCCACTTTGTGGGGGGGCCGGTTCAAGCTCTACCAAATTTCCAAACGACTCTTCGCCACCACCCACACCCAGCTTCCCGCCCTATGACGTTCGGACACTTCACTTCGTGGCATGCGGACGACCGTGGCTACTATTCAGGGCCCCGCGGCCGACGACGACGGCGTGCGCGCGCGAAGAAAAAACGAATGTGTCCCGCATGGTATTATTTGACAGGGATGATGGCCCTGGCAGGTGCGCAACCGTTGTCGCAGAAGTTCGAAAAAGTTGCTCGCAAAAGCCCGTTTGACAGAAATGTTTAAAAAGTGTTGGGTTTCCTACGAATCCGCAAGAGCGCGCGGGATGAGATTTTGACATTTTTTTGTTGAAAAACCATTGGTTTTTTGATGTTTTTATGTTAAAATCGCTGCGAACACTAAGGTTTTGGAAGGATTTCGTCTTGCGCGCGCGAATGTCCACTTTACCTTATTTTTTGCAAGGGATTCTTGAAATTTGATTATATTAGAACAAGAAATGTCATTTTCTATTGTTTTTTGCAAGGGAAAGCGGATTACAACAAAACAACCGGATCCTGTACACACCCTCTTTTCTGAGGCTTCCTCACGAAAATGATGAAAATGTAGCTGCGGCCTAGGCGGCGCAGGGGGGGCGCGCACCAGGGGGCCCAACAATAATTATTCTTTAGAATAAATAATGTTCAACAACAACAACAACAACAACAACAACAACAACAACAACAACAACAGCAACAACAGCAGCAACAACAACAACAACAACGACAACAACCCCACCAAAAAGGCCCTCACCCACCCACCCACCCTCAAAAATACCAACATCAGAAAACCTGGAACTGCCCAGGACCCCCAAGGCAGCCCCACTACCCCCTAGGACGACCCCATGACCAATGACTCCCCAACGGCCCCCAGACGCCACAGACGGCCCCGACATCCCCACAGGGCACCTCCGAGGCCCCCCCCAAAAAATTGCCTGGTGAAGAGCCCAACCCTTCCTCAAAACGACGCGATTACGAGCAGGACCGCTCAGTGCACGAGAAGACTGTGGGGGACCTGCGGCACCCCGGAACGCTTCGCCAAAAGCGTCCAAGCCGCAATGAAAGTGTGAGGGGTGTGCCCACACGGGGCGGGACCCCGTGCGCACGCAGCCACTGAGGCCTTCGGTGGAGCTCCCTTCGGGGATGGACAGACCCCCCTTTAGTAAAACGTGGTTTAGTGACAACGACTTCGGGCCCAAACCTGGCGGGCGCAGGCCTGGAGAATAACGGCCACGGCGCCCTCTCGAGAACCGAAAACGGACAATTCACTAATCGACGTGTCACTGTTGGGGGTTCTGTCCACCCAAGACCTATGGGGCCGCGGAACATGCGATCGGTGTGCTGACATGGGGCGGGGCACCATGGTGGCGCGGCCACCAGGGGCTTTCGGCGGAACTCCCGCTGGGACCACGAAGCGTGTGAGAGATCCACCAAAACTGGACGAGTCATAATGTCATCCCTGCCAGTGGGGCCTTCGGTGGAGCTTCCTATGAGGGCACGAAGCGTGTGAGGGGCGTGCCAGGGCAAGGGGAGGAGGATACCGAGAGCAGACGAAGAGAAGGAGGAGGAGGAGGAGGAGGAGGAGGAGGAGACGCGCGGCGCTGCGGATTCGAAACGAGGACCCAACTTACAGAAGGGCTGGGGAAAAAAAAGTACACACAACACAAAACAACGACAAAACAAACAACTAAAAATTAACTACATGATAAGATTCGCATCACGATGTCAGACTCTGAGCGCAGCGCTGCAGGTCTTCGACGCCGATGCCATTCATGCGAGCGCGCGGCATCGTGGGCAGCTCTGACCCATGGGACTCCGGCGCATTCCGCCTCCATCCTGGAGAAGTCAGCTCCAGCCGCGCCATGGGCCTGCTTAGCTGGAGCCGGGAGGAAACAAGGAACAAGAGTGAAGAGAAATTGCGAGAGAGCGATGACAAGAGCACCAAATGCTCCTGGCAACTCAAAGGTAGATGCAAGCATGTATACAGATATACACATCTATATATATAGATAGATAGATATATATATATATATATATACATTGCCAAACAGTGCTTGAACTTAGGGATTCTTACTTCTTTTCTAAGGACCTCGGCCTGCCCGTTGGTCCGGCGGCTGTGGTCGCCGTCGCCGCCCCGTCGCCGTCTGGGCCTGCGTTAATTTGCACTGCGTTGCGTTACTTTGCATTGCATTATATTGATATGCATTGCTTGATTTGCGCTGCTCTGCAACGCTTTACATTGATTTGTACTGCATTGCATTACTTTGCCTTGCTTTGCGTTGGCTTACGTTGCTGTCCATTGCTTTGCATTGCTGTCAATTGATTTGCATTATTTTGCACTGACTTGCGTTGCATTGTTTTGCATTGCTTTGCACGGCGTTGCGTTGCCTTGCATTGATTTGAACTGCATTGCATTGCTTTGCATCACTTTGTATTGCTGTGCATTGCTTCGCGTTGTTTTGCGTTTCGTTGCAAAGCTACGCATTACTATGCACCACATCGATTGCACCACATGGACTGCACCACCTAGGTTGCACCACATTCACTGCAACACCTAGATTGCACCGCATATGTTATGGGAAATCGATGTGTGGGGCCCACGCTTACTACCATGTGTATATGTATGTACGTAAAAGACATGATGGGGAGACGGGGGGCAGGAATAAGAAGAAGAATCAAGACAACGAGAAGACAAGATGGAAAGGGAAAGGCAAAGTGAAGGAAATTAAGGAATGGTTGCGGAAGGAGAAGGAAGAGCGGAAACAGAGGCCCAGGCAAAGCACAAGGAACAGGAGGAAGACAGAAAAGAAGTGGAAGGCGGGTGAGGAGAAGAGGAAAAGATGAATACGAGGAAGAGGGGACGAATGAGTATAGTCATAAGAAAGCAATAACGCAGAAGAATGCACATAAACAGGCCTTACAACAAATGAAAACACGATAAATAATAACAGAACACAGAGTGATCATAATAAGGAGAGGGAGAGGGAGAGAGGAGAGGGGGGAGGGGAAGAGAGGGAGAGAGGAAAGGAGGGCAACGAAAAGAGCGGGAGTGAGAGGGGGAGACAGAGAGAGGCAGACAGAGAGTCTGATAAGTACATGTGTATACAGAGAGACATGAAAGGAAAGAGAGAGAGGGAGGGGGGGAGAGGGAGAGGCAGAGGCAGAGGGAGAGGAGGGGGAGAAGGAGAGGGAGAGAGGGATAGAAGGAGAGAAGGAGAGAGGGAGGCAATGAGAGAGAGCGGAAGAGAGATGGAGTGGGAGATGGAGAGATGGAGGGAGAGGGAGAGGGGAAGAGAGGGGAGAGAGCAGGAGACAAGCTTGATGCGCCCGCGCCAGTTCTGACATCCTACTCCTCCCGCGCATCCCTTCCAATTGGCCTGTTTTAGCTCCCGATCCGCCGATGCGCGTCAGCGCGGACCTGGAACTCCAAACAGGACCCCACCGTGTTATGCGCTATCGGGGAGGGAGGGGGGGGGGACAAAAACAAAAAAACAAAAAAACAAAAAAACAAAAAAACAAAAAAAAAAAAAAAAAAAAAAAAAAAAAAAAAAAAAAAAAAAAAACAGCACGCGTACATTGGAGGAGAAGATGGCGGAGGCCTGGGCAGGAAGAGAAGTGAGGAGGATGAGAAAGGAGGAGGACGAGGACGAACCGCAGCAGCAGGAGCCGAAGGGGAAGGAGCGGGAGAAGCTGGAAGGCCAGGGGAAGGCGGAGGAAAGGAACTGAAGGGGGCGACAACGGTGAAGAAGGACTCGGATCCAGAAAAGTGGCTTACGCTGGTAAGGGGCCACATGCGAACCCTACCCCTACCCCCCATGATTTCTGAGGGAGAGGGTGGGGTTCACTTTGCTCGGGAGCTCCCGAACGGAGTGAACCCCACCCTCCCCCTCAGAAATCGTAGAGGGTAGGGTTAGGGTTCGCATGTGGCCCCCTAGCTGGAGCGAGATCGCCAGCCTGAACGATGGCAGCCAAGCGCCGATCCGAAAATGCAGCCCACGCTGCAGCCAGAGCACCAGATGGAACCACCGAAGGCAACCGGATTGCAAGAACAAGTCAGGAAGAACAAACTGTTGATATCCTGTGCGCAAACACAGCACGCGGAGAGAACGGGTCATCTTCCGCCTCCTCCAGAGAGAAGAACTGTACTCAGAATGTGCAATGGCCGAAGATAAGCGAAAGGCGACTGCACGGACACCGTCGCGCTGAGCACTGACCAGCACACCGCGCAATGGTTAAAAAGAGAAGGAGAGAGAGAGAGAGAAAGAAACGATACAGAGATAAAGAGAGGGAGAGAGAGAGAGAGAGATTGATAGATGCGTGGGAACAAGAGCAGAACCGACCCGTCTCATAACGTACGTGGGACAAGACCTCCCTGAAGCCCGCAGGAAGCATAAGAGCATAAGAAGACAGAGGGTGCAAGGACTCCCGGAGGACCAGGGAGCGAGAGATCGGTAACAGCATCTCCCTCTTCCTCTTCCTCCTCAACCGCCTCCCTGTCCTCCGCACAATCCAGATCATAATCATAGTCATCATCATCATCATCATCATCATCATCATCATCAGCAGCAGCAGCAGCAGAATCAGCATCAGCATGAACATCAGCAGCATCAACACCAACATCATCATCGTCATCACCACCATCATCATCACCATCATCATCATCATCATCATCATCATCATCATCACTACCATCATCACCATCATCATCATCATCATCATCTTCATCATCATCATGGTCACTATCCTCATCGCCACCATAATCACCATCATCATCAGCAGCATCATCACCATCCTCATCAGCATCATCATTAGCATCGCCATCGTCAGCATCAGCATCATCATCATCATCATCATCATCATCAGTAGGAGCATCATCGTCATCACCATCGTTGGTATCATCAGATTCGTCATCATCTGCAGCAGCATCATGATCATCATGATGATCATCATCATCAGCATCATCAGCATCAGCATCAACGTCATCGTCATCGTCATCGTCGTCATCATCAGAAGCAGAATCCGCATCGTCATCTTCGTCAGCGGCAGCCGCATCATCAGTATCATCAGCATCAGAATCAGAATCAACATCATCATCAGCAGCATCATCACCGTCATCAGTATCAGAACCATCATCAGCAGCATCATCATCAACATCATCAGCATCCTCAACAGCATCAGCATCATCATCATCATCATCATCATCATCATCATCATCAGCATCATCATTGTTAGCATCATCATCGTCGTCGCACTCCTCCTTCTCCTCCTCCTCCTCGACGTCGTCGTTGGTGTCATCACCCTCCATCTGTCGTCAGTATGTTCCCTCTTCTCCGATTCCTGTTCATCGCCTCGTCCCCGAACGCTTCCTCGTCAGCATCATACTCCTCCCACGCGTACCCCCTCGCCTCCCCCTTCAACCTGATACACATCCTCTGCCTGCCCCATCCCGTCCGCCTCCTCATCCTCCCCTTCCTTCGAATCAGCATCCTCCTCTTCCTCTGCCGTCGTCCTCCTCCTCGTCCTCCTCCTCCTCTTCCTCCTTCTCCTCATCCTCCTCCTCCGCGGTCTAATTATCCTTCTAGTCATCCTCCTGTGCTTCCTCATCCGCCATATCCTCCTCCTCCCCCTCTACACATCGTTGTCATCATCCTCTGCTTCTTCCTTCTCCTCGTCCTCCTCCTCCTCCTCCGCCTCCTCCTCAGCATCCGTCTCCTCCTCGCCATCGTCAGAGCCATAATCATAATCAGGTTCGTCATCAACATCATCATCATCATCATCATCATCATCATCATCATCATCACCACCACCACAATCATCATCAGCATCATCATCAGCATCCTCATGAGCATCATCATCATCATCATCATCATCATCATCATCATCATCATCATCATCATCATCATCATTATCATCATCATCATAAATCGTAATCATCATCAGCATCATCATCATCAACATCAGCTCCATCCTCATCATCACCACAAGTATCATCATCATCATAATAATCGACAGCATCATCATCATCGTCATCTGCATCACCATCATCATCATCATAATCATCATCATCATCAGCAGCATCATCATCGTCATCGGAATCATCATCATGAGCAGCATCATCAACATTATCATCATCATCATCATCATCATCATCACCAATATCATCATTCCCATCATCGTGTGCATCCTCGCCACCACGATCAACAGAACCGTCAGCCTCATCAGCATCATCACCTTCGTCAAAATTATATGGCCCATCCTAATCATCAAGATCGGCGTCGCCGGCATCATCATAACCGCCCACGCCATTAACAGCCTAGTCGTCGTCACCATCAGTATCATCATCGTCCTCAGCATCGTCATCATAGTCATCACCGTCGCCATCTTCGTCATCATCAACAGTATCCTCATGATCGTCATCACCACCACCACCATCACCATCATCAGCTTCATCCTCATCATCCTCATCCTCAGCATCATCATCATCAGAATCAGCATCATTACCATCCATTCCCTCATCTTCCCCGACACTCCTCATATTCTCTCTCCGTCCCATGTGGCCAAGTCGACTCGAATATCGCCAACCCTCTGGGCGTAGGTGGTTTAGTGAAATAGCTAGTCCAACCCCAGTCTTCCTCTTCGGGAAGGGGTTACCTCTCCTCCTACCGCCTACCTTGGGTTCAGGACCAGGACAAAATGTCAGAACGGGTTGGCCGAAGACGGCTCCCAAATGGCATCAAACAACAAAAAAAGATGGCCTCCAAGACGGTACAAGAGAGACCAAGATGGCTCGAGTCAGTTTCCGAGCTATAGATATATATATATACACACACCACAGGCCCAAAGACGGCTCCAGGTGCCCACGGATACA